AACAATATTACCTGCACCATTGTGCTATAAACATGCGGCTTTATTTATGTTTTATATTTTCAGAATGTTATGAAGATAGCATCCCTGAATTTGGCCCATAACACGACAATTGACAACGGCATGTAAGTTGATTGGTCGGGGGTCATACGTAAAGCTAAAGTGCTTATAGATGTTAGTGTCAGCCATGTTTCACATGTTTTCTTTTTGTTTCCAATGATCTAGCAAAAGCAGCGACACCACAGTACAGCGCTTTGACAAGAGCCTGGAGGAGTTTTATGCTCTTTGCGATCAACTGGAGCTGTGTTTGGTAAGACTTCAACACAATACACATAACCACAATATTGATGAAGTAGGCCTACTTGTGTACTAATGTACTAAGTACTAATGTCTGCGTTCACCGGCCACCACAACTCATACAACTTCTACATTTTCTGTATTAATTTAACTGTTCAATATATTGTTAATGTATTTTGAATACCCTTTTACTGTATAGTAGATGGTAGGAGTGAGTCAAAATATATTAGGAACTGCCAGCCAAAATCTAAGCATTTACCTGAAATCTCTGCAGGTTTGTCATTTATAAAGAAAACATGACTGCCATGAAATAGAGCTTTGTTTAACAGACACAGTTAGTAATATACAGTTTAAGTAAGATAGTGCTTTGAAAAATGTAATTAGCAAGGAGTTTGAACACTTTTAATCCAGTTATCATCATGCCCCTGTTCCTGTTTTTTTAATCATTAAAATGTTCTCACATTTAAAACATATATATATATATATATATATATATATATAGAAAAAGTAGTAGTAGTGTGCAGTATAGAAAAACACCTGAATACCAAACATCATGACAATCTTTACTAAGTGTGATGGAATCTTCTGAAGCAACGGAGACAGGACTCGGAGAGACACGGGGAGAGCAGGAACTTTGATGCCAAACACTGATGGTTTATTTGGAGCTTCGGCCAGAGAATTCACAAGAAGTGCTGTGCCACGAGTTGACACAGTGGATGCCAAACCAATTCTGAAGATCTCTACCCCAGACCCCTGTATTTAACTTGTTCTGAGAGTATGTTCTGCATTGTGCATAACAAGATAAAGAACTATAACACCTCTATCAGCTGACGCCAACAGGCAGGAATAGGGAGACAAAACACTGAGAACACAGCAGCCCAAGGTTGCAGGCAGGGTTCGAGTTATAAACTGAGCTCTATGGGGGTCTTTAAAACTAACGCATGCACGCGTGCGTGCACGTGCAGGCGCGCACGCACACAGTCACAGGCATAGATTGTGCAATAATGTATTGCGCACCTTGGAGGTGCAGACTCCAACTAGTATATATTGCACACCCTTGTGAGTATACAATTAGTGTCTGATGTGTTAGGGCTTCAAAGATAATTACAAAAACTCAGGAACTCTGTACTTGTGGAGCGTCACAAACAGCGCCTCCGTTTATTACGTGTTACTCTCTCTCCACAACTTCAGGACAGACTGTGCATGCTCAAACACATGAACTCGTACACAATCAATAACAACGTAAGAGCTATACAAATTAAAGAAAATACAAAAATTAGCTCTCACAGATAAAACGAGAGAGAGAGACTGACTTCACTGCTAATTACGTGGTCCCACACACACACACACACACACACACACACAGCCTTTTTTTGGGCGGCATGGTAATCGTCTGCTAGCCTACGGTACTCGTAGTATGTATGTGTGTATCTTGTCAATATATTTGAATGTCTGTTGATGTAACGGTTCATTCTTCAGGCGCGCGCAGCACGTTCACAGCCTCACAGGCATAGATTGCGCAATATTTTATTGCGCACCTTAGAGGTGAAGTGCAGGCATATTGTCAATCAAGAGAGAATACGATGCGTAGTTCTTTTGTTTTGTTTGCCTATTTACCTCGTTAACGTAAATAATACTCATTACATTGAAAAATGCATTATTTGTGATCAAAATAATGGTTGTTGGTAATGTATATTAGCGACCCCCACAGATGTTTGATTTCACTGGGTCCGTGGGAGCTCAGGCCCCTCCTTATGGGAGCTCAGCTCCCATTGGCTCCCACGTAACTCGAACCCTGGTTGCAGGCACACTGGGTCAAAGGTGTGGGCCTAGGAAAACTAAGGGCAAATTAAATATATGAATAAACTATTATAAATGGGCCATCAAAGGCTTTAGTAGTACCATAGTCTAAATGTGATGATTGAGAGGGTTATTTACCATTTACCTTTTTTAAAACAACAATATATTGCTATATGACTGTCTTCTTTTAACATGCTACTGTGTTGTATCCAAACCTAAAACATACCCCACAAACTCACATTTGTCTCCTCTCTGCAGCGGCTGGCGTATGAGTGTCTCTCCCAGAGCATTGACAGCGCCAAACATTCACCCAACCTGGTCCCCACAGCCACCAAGCCGGACACGGTGCAGACGGAGTCCATGTCTTATTCCCAGTACCTCGGCATGATCAAGTCTCAGATCTCCTGCGCCAAAGATATCCACAACGCTCTGCTGGAGTGCTCCAAGAAGATCGCTGGGAAGGGACAGCCTCAGGGAATCATGTAATGACCCGGAATAACTATCCTTTTATACATCTGGTGACATTTTTCAGAAGGTGGAAGAATTTCATATAATGGGAATGTCTCAGAACTCAGTTTTGGCCAAAGGTGCTGTCTCATTTTTCAACATCCTGTATAGTTATTTTGGTTTATGTTTCTTGTAAGCTCTGTGTAAATATTTCCAACAAAATGTCATGCTCTGATATGACCACCAGGTGGTGGCAGAGTTGTATCTTCCAACTCAATATCCACATCTCTTTTGTAGCTTATTTGTACTGACTATTAAAACATTTGTACTGAAACTAATGTTTCATCATTATTCAACATGCACAAAGAAAGTCCTGTCTGTCAATAACATGTTCAACCAATCAGGAGGGTGTACTGTTGGAGCTCCATTCATGCGATCAAAAACCAAAATCAGCTGTTGTGAAATGAGTAAAGAATGATTTGTTCAACTATGCAGGTGAAATACCACACATAGTTTAACTACGATTTCATCTCATGTGTCTGCAGTGAATTTCAAAAACATTTACACTGGCCCAAGGGAATAACATGTCAGACTTGAAATGTACAGAGGCATTAGAATTAAGAGTCCAATAAAAGCAGTCATGCATTGAGTAATAGCTGGGCTCTTTGTCCATGGAGCATTCACAAAAAGAAGCATCTGATTTGACTATTGAAGCAGCAGTGTTGATATAGTGGTGCAACAAAAATGGTAACCTGGTAACACACTGGAGAATTGTCAGGGTGGACATTTATTTAAGAGGGGTTGCGAAATATTTCCTAAGCTTACATTACCTTTATAAGTTACTTACAAATTAAAATGTTGCCTATTTGAACCAATTACAAAGTATGCTCCATCCGCCAGTTTGAATATTATGTAATCTTTAGCGCTAAAAAGTAGTTGGTTAACCTTCCATATTATATAAACATACTAAGAAGAAAGAACACTGAGGACACATGGATCCTTGAGGAACGATATATTGGTCTTCAGCCCACTCCTTTCTGTATGTTGAAGCTAAGATATTAATGAAGACTGATACATAAGCATGTGAGAGGGGAGCCTGGTGGGCTTGCAGCTGTGGAACATCTCAGACCAATCTGAGCTACTGACAAGTGCTTGGATCCAAAAATACTACCAACAGTCACAGCGAAGCTTCATCATAATACACACTCAGACCCTCTGCAGGCCTGCAGTCACATACAAACAGAGATAAGAATCACTTATATCCACCACGTATATGGGACTGACAAAAGACAAGCCACAAGAGTTATCGTCATATTTTTATTTTCAGACAATAGTCTGCGTTGTCACATCATTTGTTTTCAAAGCTTGAAAAAATATACAAGAACAAAGCTAGAATTATTGAGAATAATCCCGACGCTGTCAAGATATCGTGCTACGCAGCACAGAGTTCATCAGATGAACAACAAGAGAAATCAAAGTGACATATAAAAAGGGAAGAGTATTATTTTTCTTTTTTACAAAGATTACAGCAGATAAAGACAATATAATTACAAAAAGACAATTCCGACATTGTCTAAGACGTGCATTAGAGGACTTCAAACAGTAAAGAAGTCACTGCATTGTGTCTCGTGGCATTATGATAATGACATCATTCGAACAGATGGCATCATTACAATATCAATCATAGAGCAAATTCTATTAATCTGATGCCAAATCTTATGAATTAAATGTTCATTGATAATTTGTTATGATTTGATTAGCGCCTTCTACCCTTAATTAAATGTTAATGTGTTTCTTACATTGTATGAGTTTATCTTAATCTGTTTCCACAATGCAACATGTAATGAAATACTAATTAGCCTTTTAGTTTCCTGGATGTTGTGAAAGAGTAGGGACGTTTTTTAAATGTTCTATAAGCATAGAAGAGTATTAGTACTAGACTAGTAAAGGATAACATTACTAAGTTCTTCTTCTCCAGAGATAACACACAACCAATTCCTGATTCTGTGATATGTCTAGCCATCTTTGTTTTACAATTCAAGTGTGAGATGTGCTTCAAAAATATTACAGCGACATGGGAGGAGAAATCTGACCCATTAAAAAGTACATGTCCTCTGCAATGGTGGCAGCCTTAAGGTCATACATGTATTTGCTTTAAGATTTGAAAATCTTGATCAGTGCCTTCTGATTCTGTCCATATGATGAAACCAGTGTGTGTGTGTGTGTGTGTGTGTGTGTGTGTGTGTGTGGGGGGGGGTATAGAGCAGCACAGTATACTACATGAAGCTTGACAAACTTTAATAGACACACAAACAGAAGTTTTCACTGCTTTGTCGAACCCGAGCCTTTCATGCAGCTTTTACCCTCAGCCTTGGCCTTTGGTTGATCACTGTGGGAAACCCAAAATGTTATATTAATATATCATATGAAATGATCGATGTTCTAATGTTCAATACTCTTAAATAAGCACACTGTATGTGTCTGCTATCAGCGTCTTTCACTTGTTTGTCATTTGATCATCAACTCCATCTGGCCTGTCTTTCACACCACATGGCGTCTGAATGTTTAATACTGACCTGAGCTCCTGCTCAGAACCGGTGAGGGCTGCCCGGTGAGCGCCGCGGAGCCTGGGCTCCTCCATACGGGACACTGGGCCTGATGTGTGAAACTTGGACACCTCTTGCTGCCACTCATCGTCAAAGGTCTCTGCTTCAGCTGAGGGTGAAAAATCAGGACCATGTTACAAAGACAATCTGTCTATGGACTCGAAAATAGATCAAAAATACATAGAAAGTGGTCTACCTTATATAAGTTAACTGAACTAATCAAAAGACATTAACATGTGTGTATGTATCTCACCAAATTGAACTGTATATGGCTTATCGAACAAACTTGACAAAGAAGCAAAAACCACTAAGTTGAGGAAAGTCTATCAGCAAAAAACCCTAGAACACTTGAACTTGAGTTGTGTTGTAAATCAATATATATGTCAATAATATATAAATCGGTTTAACATACATTCATCCAAATTCTGAAAGTCCTGGTTGAACTCCTTATTTCCTGTTTTCTTGTTGAGCTTCTTCTCAACAACATGTCCCCTGTCCTGGATGTGGTGACCAATAGTCATCTGCTCCACACCGCTCTCAGAGTCTTTCACTGCTTTCCGGGTCTCCTTGATCTGGTATTAAAACATTATAAAACCCATGAGATACATCAATTGGTCTCTGAATAAGCACATTATTCCAACATGTTTATTTCCTTCACTCCTCACATCAAAAATGTCCAGTCAGAAATAAGACAGTTGTTTCGTTAGTCAAACATAAATGGAGCTAATAATAGTAGTAATGGCTGCATTCCATTTGGTTGCAGGGCCCTTGTGTAGTGTATGCAGGATCACCTTAATGGCACAGAGCCATCATAGGCCACTGTGAGAAAAGTTAGCTTGAGTTAATGCTCTCCCATGAAAAGGCCAGGGGGAAGTTATCACCGTTATTACTCAGGAAAGACAGAATGAGAGTCTTCCACTGACAGGTTTACTTCTCCCAGCTCCATGTACTGAACTGTGGTCTAATGTGCTGTGAAATGATGTAGTTAAACATCTGATGGGGTGCTTACCCCTCCAGGGGCCCGGCGTGTCGACGAGCTCGCCTGGAAGACCTTGGGAGGCTCATTTCCAACTTTTGAATATGTCATGACTGATGAGGAGCTGAACGAGTGGGAGTTTGAATCTGTGGGCGTGTTCTCCTGAAACACAAACACATTGTTGAGCATCTTCAGTTTATGCACCACAACCGTCAGAGAAGGAAGCAACATCATTAAACTCACAAAGTTTCTGTGCATCTCTTCCATCCTGCTTTTCATGTTGGACATCACGTTGTCGAACATGCCGAAAGGGTTCATAGTTGTGCCCTGCATCAACACAAAAGAGAAAGAACAGCCAAAGGCCAGAGAGAGTTCAGTGGCGGGGTGCGTTCGCTGCATGGTCACTAGGTGTTATCAGCTCGTAAACAGCTCCATCGACTGCACAAACATCCACGCACAGGGTACACTGAGCTAAATGTGTCTTACATCTGCGCCATCTGGGACTCTTATACTGGGGCATTCCCATTATCACTTCACCACATGTGACATTCATTACAAAACTACAAACCAAGTGCAGCATGCAAATGTTGATGTCTTTATTTTGGAAGTCTTTTCTGGAGAGAGAATTTAACGGTGGCCCATTTGATCCAATGAGGCCATGGAAACTTTATCACCGTCCGTCAACGCTAAGCACCTCATTTAACTATTTCTCCTTGGTGTTCAGGACCAAGAGCATGATCATATTATTTTCCAATTCAAATGAATGCAAGTTTCTATAGGTCACAGTTGAGGTACCTTACATTTACGTTATTCTGAGCCTGGAAAAACAAAACACAACATATAATACTCAAACGTGCATTTTGCAATAATCCCCATGCATACAACACATCACATAAGATATTTATATTTGATATGCCGATGCAGCCTGCATGTAACATTACATAAACTAAACAATCATCTGTATCTGTTGTAAAGGGAACAAGATGTTGAACAGATCACATTACATATATTATGTTTAGCAAACCTCAGAAAGCAACACCGGTCATTCTATGAAATGGTCACACTGTTTTCACAATACTATTATTATTATTCAAATCTCTAAGCAGTTACACTTACGCCTTATTGTATATATATGGAAAAGTAATATTTTAATGCTATTTTTGCCCCTGGAGTACAGAAACATGTTTGTCTTGTACGGTTAGTGTCTGCAGAGATACGAACAAGCACACATCATTCATAGTTAACATGTACAGCTTCTACAATACTCCCACATTTGTACAGCCTGCAGGCAAAGTGTTAGTGGTACAGGTAAGAAGCATTCAATCCGATTAAATCATACTGAGTGCAAATGATTGCTTGCAAAAGACCTCTTCTCCGGCTGCTTGGAGACAGTTATGGAGTTAGAGCATGCTATAGTGAGTATGGGTTAAAGTGAGAAACATGTAGGATAGCAGACTCCACTGACCGTGCTGTCAAAACTGCCAAAGGGCAACAATGACCGGCTCATATCCTGAGGATTCAAACAAGATTAGTTTAGTGACAAAGCATAGTAACACACACACATCTAGACTGTTAGCATGTTTGTTGTCAGTAAGCTGTTTGGTTGTTTTACATCAGTCACTAACCCCGTGACACAGAGCGTTGCCCACGGCCTCAAACACAACCCTTCAAGGCCGTCAGTCTTCTTCCAGCAGGGGGGGGGGGGGCAGCCTGCATTCAGACTATGTTCCCCGGGCCAGGTGTTTATGACCCTGTGGCCCGGGGATAAGCATCTCAACTGCCATCGCTATGCAGTGCGTGTATTTTCTAGGGGGGGGGCAGCCAGGGGGGTTGATGCACAGAGGTATTGTGCATAATCAGTGGGGGTGTTGAATGACTTGTGTTCCATGTGTAATTGGGTCGCATTGCCAGAGATTAGCGTGGGTTTAACACTGAAACGGAGCTTCATTCTAGGAAAGCAGGATGGACCAGCCAGCGGGGGGTCAAAGAGTCCAAGGCTGCTCTCTCAGCTCTTTTTGAAATGTCAAGCTGATGTACAACGCTCCCACCCGGTATCTATGAAGCCTCACAGCCAATTATATCCCAGAGTGGCATCTATGAACTAATAAATGCCAGTTACATATCTGCCAGCTTTATATTTAGACCGGGGTTGAGCAGAGGAGAGATTGAGGGTGCAAGATAAGGAATGTAGACCTGGTGGTCTTTAACACATTATTTTAGGCTGTCTGGACTACTGCAGAATGACGTTCTCTTTACTAGCTCTCTCAATCTGATATGGGACTGACACTGTGCTCTCTGAGGCCGGCAGGCTGCTTATGGGGGAGCGATGAGTAACTCCGTAGGGGAATTAGCGCTCAAACAATACTTAAAAGGAAAAACAAGGGTTGTGCTGCAAAGGCATTGGTCCTGGTGAATCTCATGGGAAGTTAGAGGCATTCGTATAATTTATACCAGGGGTGTCCAAACTTTTCTCACAGAGGGCCACAGACAGAAAGATTTTCGAAGGGCTGGGCCACTCAACAGAGGTGAGGCTTATTGCCTCATAAGTGAAGTGATAAGTTAGCAAAATCAATCAAATGTAAGTAAATGATGCTTGATACAACCGCCTTCATCACAGCTTTCCATAGGGTTTCATTTATTTTGTTAGCAGCTCATTCCTTACACAGAAGCCTCAGATTGCTTATCATAACAGGAAATAGGAAGGGTATATTTCAAGGTTGTTATGTAAATAAGTTATTGGGCTTTTTCTTATCAACTTAGATTTGTTAGAACATATTTGCAACTTTAATTGACTGAACGTGGGCTTATTAACACATCCACACTACTGTGTAATATATGTTTACAGATATATTTAATAAGTACAATACAAGAAAAGCTCAAGTTTCATTTGTGGGCCGCATTCCATTATACTTTTTGAATTTGCTGAGGGCCGATTCAAAATGGCCCCCGGGTCGTAGTTTGGACACCCCTGATTTATACTCTTGGTACCATAAGACAATAAAAGAAGATGAGGAGTCTCATTGAGATTACAAATGCAGCTTTACCTAGGCTGGTTACAGCATCTGCTCAGACAGTTATACTCTGAACAAGACATAGAATAACAGAATGTACTTCTAACTTATAATGATGCTTGTTTTTTTCGAGAGTAAACAAGTGCCCTGATGAATGAGTGCATTGAAAGGTTATGTGAAGCAGGTATGTAGTGGATGTTGGCAAGAAACTGGGAAATAGGAGAACTCATAGCAGGCTTGGAAGGTAAGACAGGCTTAGCAGTGTAGGGCTTAGCATTAGATTCCATCGGGAAGCAAGTTAATGCAAGAAGTACAAGCCTTCAAGCTGAACTGACCAACGTGTGTGTGCATCTCCATGTGTGTGTATGTATGCTCAAGTGTCTTTGTGTTGCATGCTGTGACTGCATGTAACTCTGCTTGTGTTTTAATACTGTATGTGTGTATATTTGTTTGTGCACATTTGTGCCTGTGATATTGGAGAGCAGTATGAGCGTGAGCTGTCTGTCATCTAGCTGCTAATGTTCCAGCATCGCCAAGGCACGTTCTGCCAAACAGATGGAGCAAAAGAGCAACAATGAGAAAACAGAGTGTCCATGACATCCGTACACATGCCTTTCCAAAGCCAACAGCACAGCACCACAGCTTCAGCCCTCTGACCATTGCTGGGCCCCACCAGGCTGCTCCTCATTTTCAGATAGAGGAGTGTGTGGGAGTGAAAGTGGTAAAACTGCGATTCCATGTTCTGTTAACCTAAAGCCTGAGTACACCATCCAGTAGTAGGTATTGTGTACATGGTTTGTTACAATTAACAAAGCAGTCTAGGGTTTGGGAGGTTTAGACTTTCCTTTCATGATCTTACATCTGCATCTCCTATCCAATTCTTTGTATATGTAATGGAGAGACCTCACAGTACAGTTCAATGGAACCCTACCTCATCCTAATAACCAGTTAGTCTTTAATAAAGAAAACAAATGTGTCAATAGACTGAGGTCCTGTATTGTAATACTCCAAAGAAAACAATGTCTTGTCAACAACTCACTAACAAGTCAAGCATTATTGGGGATCTATAACAAACTGCATATTACTTCTACTATTAGATTAAATGATTTGTTTGGACTTGAAATTTTGCAGTGTAGCTCCACTTCACCCACTGTCACTGTGGTCATTAGTCAAGTTCTCAGAGAACGTCCTCGGCTGACATTAGCTAGTTAAAGCCGCGCTGCTAACAAATAGAAAGCAGGCTGCCGGCTATTGTGGATAGGCTTCTAATGAAAGTCATTATCAAGGATAAATGTACCGGCTCCCAAGTAGTGGGGTTAAAGCAGGTGAGAGGGACTACAGTGGATTTAGGAAGGAGATATAAGCAGCACATATTGGAGTTAGGAGAGGTGAACGGGTGCAAAACATGGCAGACTAGAACCATTCCTCTGCCTGCCTCTACAACACTGCACAAATAACATCAAAATGTTACAGAACAATAATTATTGACAACTAATACTTAAAGGCCAAAGCTCTCCCAACCTTGTTCTTAGCTGATATAACATAAGGGCTTGCAATTAAATATGTATGGGGTAGCAGTTGTGTTTGAAGATAAACTATTTTAAAGAATATGTAGCTTTAAAGTGTTTGACAGTATAAAGTTGTTAACAGGTATCAATTTGACTATACTGTATATGCTTTTTACCACAGTGTAGTACTTTTGTTTTATTTTAGAATTCCTAACAACATGAGGCAGAGGAAAGACAGATGAAAACTAGCCTTTAGTCTAACATTCGTTTGACTGTTGATTAGTGTACGTTGTCCATTTAAAAAATATAATTAAGTGTTTTAATTTAACATGAATCCGGAGCCTATTACAATATTATCAAAATAAAGTGTTATTTCCAGCCGCAGCTCATCTCAGCCACACATAATTCTCGGGGGTCCTGTTGGTTTGACTGTTAAAGAAGTCTGTACCTTGTATTGCAAGAAAGCAGTATGTCAGTGGAACAATGCACTATATATAGGGCTCCTCAGGGCTAGATATAACTGTCCAGTGAGGCCAAGGGGGTTGCCCTTTTACTAAACTAGAGACTCACATGGCCCCATACCTCGGTGAGTGGTGCTCCAGTTACGCTGCCTGTGGCCAGCTTCCACTATACCCTCAGTAAACTTTCTCCAAACACCAATCTTCTGGTTATATGCCTATGTGCTAGGGCTGCACGATTTTGGGAAAAAATCTAATTGCGATTTTTCTGACAAATATTGCGATTGCGATTCGAATTGCGATATTTGTTTTTAAGCGACCCAACGTAAGTTTATTGTAAAATGCGGCCATAACTCCGGCTAGGAAGGTCGTATCAACTAGTGNTATACGTAAGTATTACGCACACACACACACACACACACACACACACACACACACACAGTTGAATAAACACATGTACGCGCTTTTCACGTATACGCAGAGCAGCGCCACATCCCAGTATACTAGGTAGGTCATCCATGTGATTAATATGCATCATCTGAGACAGCAGATGAATGAGCGTGTTCTTCAAAGATGTTACAATGTCAATATCGCTGTAAATGAATCATTAAAAAGACATAGCCGACAATCAGGATCTTTCATTGCCATCTTAATCCTTTGGCGATCATCTAAGTCGAGGATTTATGTGTTATATCAAACCATTGTACATAATGTCTAGTGCTATTAGGATGAAGGAGTGCTTTGAGCAGCCTTTACTCAGAAAATCCTTTATACAAGGTGTCTTTATTGTGGTATATCATATGGAAAACGCAACCTTAATAACATGGTTTCTGGCAATGTTCAATGTATTCTCAGGAATAATGCTTTCACGTTATATAGAGGTTACGGTCTCACTGCTTGCAATGTTGCTGTGCAAGGGGGACTACGTACCTTTGGTTCCACTTGTCTCGTTGCAACTTTATATGCCTATTTACATTGATTATTTTGAGAGCTGGGCTTGTAAACGATGCTTTAAACATTCAGCATGATGATGTGAGGCAGACAGATGTCAGAGTTTTGAGAGAGGCAGCTCGACAGGAACAGATTCAGAATGCTGATAGGCACAGAAACACAATGGTTTGTAGTCCCTTCAGAAAGGCACCTCATTATCTAAATGTGATTACAATTTTACTTGCCCAAGTCACAGTGATCCTTTTTACAAGGTTGTAACATTTCCTACATAGCACTATGCAGTCACACTAACACAAAGGTTACAGTTAAACACGGTGAAATAAATTATAAAAATAAGCCGTTCCACAATAAATATAGCACTTAATGATAACCTTTTAAGCACAAATAAAGTAATATAGTTTAATAAACCTCATAACTGAAATGATAATCAGACCAGCACAGACATCTTATATTTTTGATTTTCAATAATGCCAACTTTGAATGAATCAACAAAGCACTTTAACACATCATGGGCATATATTAATCAATTGAGAGTCCCAGTGTGTCTTGTGCATCAAATCTCTACAAATGATAAAAATGTATGATGATTTGTGTTAAGGGTGTTCACAGCAGGAGTTTTGGAGGACCGTCACTCATGC